ATCACCTCACCCCTTGTCTATGCATGCCCCCCTTAAGTTCTCCCTCTAAACATCTATGTTCCACAGGATGCACTGCATGTCAATCTTGGCACATTCTGCTTCATCTATCTTCTTGAGGAACAAGTGAATGATGCATGCAGGGGTCTGAGACGTTCTAGAGGAAGAAAATAGCTCTAACCCAGCTTGAATCATGTCTAAATCAGTATGACATTAGAAAAATAATGTTGAATTGTACTGTCTCGACCAGAGCATTTGTTCAACAGATCCACAACCTTAATCTCAACACAACCAATGCTAGAACAGGTCCAAGTCTTACTAACAAGTTGAATTTTGAGGACAGACGAATTGTCTGCTAACAAACTGTGAACTCCATCAGCAGGACAAATATAGAAGTATTTATACACTCACAAAGTAAGAACACTATTCTGTACGAGTGATCTGTCTTCCTTGATTTCATAGCTTGTCAACTTTTGGCCTTTGAACTCTATTTTGACATAGAGTGTTTGCCAGTTTGTCCTATACTGGACTTCCGATATATGCCTTACTAAGCAGAACTGTCAAGTTGGAGAGTAGGTAAGTGAATAGGGGACATACATTCAAGGAAATAGTGGGTGGTGGTGGTGACAGTAGCAGACATGGGCAGTAGGGAAAGGAGTGTGGAGAAGATTGCCTTAAATGCAGGATCAGTGTTGCCTTGAGTATGAGAGGGCAATGAAGCAAGAACATTGTCCCTGCAGTGTCTGCATGTTCATTGTATATAGCACATATAGTTAGGGGTTTGTGTAATGTAGGTGCCAATCAAGCTTTCTTGACAGTTGTGTGAGCCAGCTACCTTGGAATGGTTTGGCATGTTATATTTCCCATAGTATCATAGCATCCGCAAAGGGGTATTGTCACACAACAAAAGAACAAGGGCATGCAGTGACGGTCGAAACTTTGTGTCAATCACAATAATGCAGGGTAGTAGATAGTACAGACATTCAGCAAGTTATCACCTTTTCTCAGCTTCCAAAGTGATTGCACCTCTCATTTTACTGATGAAATAGACAATGAGAAGGAAAGGTATTAATACAGTATTATCTCCCTTGGGAGGTTAGACACCCAGGCTTTTAAACACTCTTGTGCCAAATTAGGAAACTTACAGAGACAAACCTACAGTAGTTTTCATATGTAGGAATGATTGCACTCCAGAAAAACTTGATACATCTCTCAGGCAATCAGACAACTCTGAAGCTGGGGACAACTAGTTTGTGCAGGAAAATAGCCATAAATATGACCTGTACAGAGTGACGGTAAGTGTTAGCGTCAAGGACTTCTGAGTTCCCAAAGCATATCTGCTGCAAGCAGAGCAATTGGCCAAGGCAGTGTATTGATGGCTAGTTATGGCTTATAATACAGTTAGAAGCGGAGAACGCAGTGCTGTTTCCGTGTTGATGACCAGGTCTCGATATAGTGATTCCGTAGTCGTCTGAAGAGCCTGATCCGGAATTCATGACGACACTATTGGTCGCTGATGATGGCGGACCTGTTTAAGCCGTTGACGTGCAAAAGTTGACGCAACAGAACATAAAGCGTCTTTATGTGTTATGAGACAGACTCTTTTATAGGTACGGAACTGAGCTGCCAAGGAGAGTCACGCAGACAAGCTAGGTCTTCCGGCGAAGACAACATACAACTGAGGTACGGACCAGAATCATGAGGTGAATATCGGATGTTTGGAAGAAAGGGGTGTTTCCATATGCACCGGTGGCGAAGGTGCCATAGGAATATGGAGGGTCTAAGTCTTTGTGCGATTGACGATGTCCGTCTAACTGTTGCAGTTGGTTGTAAAAGGCATGTTCGTTTGTACGACCGATGATGTCCGTCCGAGCGTCATAGTCTGGTCGTAAAAGCCCGTGGCAACGATACGCTATTTAATCCAAGGACGGAATCGTGATCATGATCGTAGGACTAGGATGGTCGCGGAGCACGGAGCAAGACATCAGCTTCTCGAAGCATCATAGCTGATCTGGCAAGTCCCGGAGAGAACAGAGCTTTTGTTGCGATTCAGTACGCAAGTTCAGGAAACTAGATGAGGAGTCCGCTTGCGCATCACTTCGATGGAGAGTGATAGCTGTCGTGACAGAGTTTTTGAGACAGCAAGAAGAGAAGGTTCATCGAAAGCATCCTACGGCACCGACATCTATGGCTGATGATGGTCGCTTTTACTGATAGATGCTTGACGTGTGCTATTGGATACGGAGCGGTGACGAGCGAGATGGTCGCTACTGGCCGGCCGCCATGAAAAAGGAGTAATAGCTCTTAGCCCGAAGCCCTTGTTTTCCGTAAATGAGCTGAAAACTGAACGAGGTTCGAAGAGACCTAAATCTCAAATTCTAGCACGCGTAAAATGATCGTCGTGCCTCTCAGCTTGATCTAAGCGATGCATGTGTTCCGGTCTCGCCCCAAGAGCTCTTTCTCCCAACTGCGAAACACAAAGTAAGACGTTCTTGGAAAAAGGATTTGTATGCGTGAAAGTGATGGTAAGAGCCTGAATGAGGACTGCCTTTGACCCCGATTTAGACAGGTATCACGTGACATGTTAAGACTTGAATGTGGACAGGAGGTCGAATACGACGATAGTTGGATGTAAGAAGGCATGTAAGCCCATTGTATGTCACTAAATTACCCAGTTTTCGTCCTGAGAAATGTCTTCGTTTGAGCGAGGGACGCAGAGGAAAAAGAGAATGAGGAAGGACATGACCGTGGTATAAAATGGATATTTAATAAAAGCGTGGGAAATGGAATATACTGCATAGAAGGCGCGTGGTATTTGTACTTGACCTTGTGCAAGGCAGCGCTTGTTCTCCGGTCCATCCTCCATCTCTTTTTCTCTGCTCTCCCATTCTCTCGTCTTTTCGTGTCGTCGACAGACAAGGCGACTACAATACTCTCGACAGCGACCAAGACGCAAAGATCAGCGAGCACAACACGCTCCATACGCGATCTGCAACGATGGCCCCGTTGAGGACATCACCACCCTTCTCACCCTCAAAGCGTCGCTCTTCATTCTCGCTCTGTCTGTCCCTCCACTCTTTACTCGTTTTTCTGACACATCTGACAGTCATGTTCAGTGTCCACGCGCCGACGCTCCTTTGTCCCCAAGAATTACACCTTCGCGCCCAATGTGACGCCGATCAGCTACCCATCGGACCCTGCCTCTCCTTCCTCGAATGCACGCTCGAGCTCGAGTCCCAAACCTGAAGGATCTGATGCTGATACTAAGGAGGCTGATGAGCTGGCTGCACTGGCAGCTGCCACGGCGTCAACTCAAGCCCCATCACGGCCGCGCCGGCGCGGCGGGCGGAAGGACAGCGTAGATCACATTCCCCGTCCTCCGAATGCCTTCATGCTCTTTCGACAGAACTTTGTTCATCAGCGACATGTCCCAGGCTCAATTGAGACGAGCCACAACTCTTTGAGCAAGATTGTCGGTGCGTTTGTTTTCCCGTCATGATCCCGCACTTCCCACAGCCACATTATTACCATGACCAGCACAGTTCACGTGGCTTGACGCTTCTTAATATAGTCGCGTATAATGTGCTAACTAACTTACCTGTCATTTAGGGAATTGTTGGAAGTCTCTTCCGAGCAAGGATAAGAAGGTCTGGGAGGCTCTTGCAGAAAAGAAGAAAGAGGAGCACAAAATCCAATACCCGCACTATCGCTTCCAACCAAAACATGATCCAGAGAAGAAGCGTAAGCGCCAGGCGGTACGAGCTGCAGCAGAGAAAGCCGAACGCGAGCGCTTGTTGCGTGAGCATGGCACTGACCAATCGACGCCCCAAGACACAAACCCGGACAAGTTACAGCTTCAGGAAGCGAATCATGACCAAGAGAAAGAGCGCGCAATGGCCAGCCGTCGCCAGCAAGTCTGTGCGATGCACAACCACCTTGGACATCGTCGCTCGAGTTCCGTTCCTCTTCCTTCGGAATCGTACCCTGGATATCCGTATACCAGTGATTTCGGCGGACCATTTGCTCAGGGTGCGCCAGCCGACCCATTCAACTTCGCGAATCCTGCTCTTGCACAAGCCCCGCCTGCGAATTCCAATGCTCCCACGTCGAATGGCATCACGATTCCAACGCTTCCATCTAGCATTGGTGGTTTCTCAGGTTATTGGTATGGTACCAACGGCATTGCAAATGCTGATCAGACAACTCCAGCGATATCAGAACAAGCTGATGCTCTGTTGCCGCTTCCGCACTTACATGCACCTCAACCGCGCTCAGCGATACTTTCTCGCTCCGCTTCACCGCGCGTCCCGATGAATGGCATTGGTATGAGCTCAATTGCTGGAGGGTTTGGTGAATTTAGCGGGATGAGTTCCATGGGAATGGGTACTGCGATGAACTACATGGGTATGGGTCCCCGCGCGTCTCGTCAGTGGGCTCTAGGTCAGCTTGGACGACGAGCAAGTTCAACACAGCCGATCTTGCAGCACCAGTTGGCGTCTGGTGTTTTTGCCGACCTTCAGTATGGCGCTCAAAGCAACTTCCCACATCCCGGAGCGCCTTTCGGACAATATTCCTTGCAAGGATTCCAGCAAGGAGCCTCTGGGCCTTTCGACTTTGGATCAGGTCACAATCAGCAACAAAGTGCATTCGACGGTTTTGTTGGTGCTGTTGCAGAGGGTTTCACAAACCCATTCGCCTCTTCCAACCAACCGACAAGTGCCGCCGTGTCTAATGCAGACCCAGCTCCTACACCCGCTCCAGGCTCATATCCTACTCCACTTGCACCAAACGCGATGTGGTATCAAGTGGATTCTGTCGATCCAATGACTCCGGTCCAGCAGCAGCCGCATTCGCAAGGTTCGGAAACGTCAGGATGTGCTCAAGCCCTTCCTCCGGTTGACACTGGGGTGTTGAACCCGGCATTTGACTTTGGCAAGACTGCACAGGGCAGTTCCGACCTATCCGGGTCCGGAGCTTCTGTAGACGTACCTTCTTCTCCTAAGTCGGCGTCGGCGTCTGCACCTCATAGTGCAATGCGGGCACACTTTGGTCCGACGTCTGCACCCGTGCAAAGTTCTAACTCGGCTCCCGGAACTGGAATGCGCGATTCATTCGACTTCAGCGCGTTCAATGCCTTCTTTTCTCAGAACTCGGCCCACCATCAGCATCAGCATCAAGTTCAGAACCAGACTCAACCGCAGGACTTGCAAGGCTTCGAAAACGTCGCTCAACCCACTATGTCCTCCAGTGCGAACGGATTTTCGATTGTACAGCCGGTGCCGGTTCGCAAGGTGGGCTTACCCCGTGTCCCTGAGACGCATTCGGGTACATCGCATCATCAAGAGCAGGCGTATCCTCAGCACGGTAGCTATCAAGAACACTATGTTCCAGATCAGGCGCAGCCATATTCTCAAGAACAGGTCGCTAGCTATCAGGAGCATACTCAATACCAAGCAAGTCAACAGAGCTCTAACGGGAGTTCTGGAAGTAACACGGACGCAAGTCCTGCAAGTGGCCTAGTTGCAATGGCGCCTCGGTCTCAACACCACTCGCAGCACCAGCAACACGGCATTGAAATCGTCTCCGGTCATGAGCTTCTTGATGGACCGGTGGACGTCAACGCACTGTCATCTGCTCATCATAATTCCAATCTTCCTCAACAAGTACAGACGCAAGGAGATGGTTCATGTGCTTCGGATACTGATGCTACTAGTTATGGTTATGATTTCAACGGGGTGGCCTCGCTCGAGGCGCAGAACGTGTACCAGATGCACATGGGCATCGATGCGGATATGGGCAACAGTTATGGCGGTTATGCATGTGACACGCAGTCTTCGCAGGCCCAAGATGGCAGTACCGGCAATGGTTCCACCGAACATGCCGGGGGACCGCGGTTCTCCTTCAGCGACTTCGTGCATGGATCACCGTTCGTCTCTGCGACCTCTGTTGCAAACTGAGCGTCCGCGTACGTCTCGGAATTCTTTTGATACTGGACATCATAAAATTCGTGCATTTACTGTTCTAGATATGTTCAACTTATCCGTCCAACCCAGCTTCGGTAACCTACACGCATTTTTAACACAATTCATTTCTTGCCCTCACTCGGTCTCTTTGCGCTCATACTCTTCTAACTCAACTACCCATTTTCGCTTCTTGCTTCTGCTCTCATCATGCTTGGATCCTAATCCATATACACTGATCTCTAAGCTTTGTTGTTGTTACCCGTGTCGTCTTGTCTCAACTGTAGCATTACTTGACCCCGTTGTTGTCTTCCGCATCGATGTCATCGATCCTGTTTAACTTGTTTTGTCGGTCTTTTCTTCGTGCTGGAAGTACTCCTCTTGTTGTCTGTCTGTTTCTTGTCTCGTACAACCCTGATGTAGCTATAGCCCGGATATATTATGAATTATTGTTGACTTACAAATACCTTTCCTTAAAGTTGTTGTAAGTGTTTGCTGAGTTCGGAAAATTGTAATCGCCAAGCAAGGCAATGTGGAGAGCTTGACATCCGAAGTGTCCTTTCCTTTGACAAGCACGTGGTTTGATAATTGGGAGGCCTGGGAGGGAGATAAATTCGCAAGCTCGAAGACGTGGCGCTCATGAATCGTTTCCTCTCTACGCAGTTCTAAGGTGCATGCAGAATTATTCAGGCAGCCCAAACCAAAGGGACTTGACCGAGACTACTTAGACAAGTTTACCGCAAATTATAATGACGAATTACTAAGTGGCACATACCTACGCTTTGCCCAGCCGCCTCGATTCTTCTCGTCGCGTAGCACAAGGAACCGTTCAATTGGAAAGAATCTTCAAAGAGTATCTTGAACGTATTGACCTGCACAGGCATTGTTTGTCGGACTTCCAGTGGCGGTAAGATATAATTTACTATAAAAATAACTGAAACAGAACTGACAAATGTGGCACTTACCGGGGAAATTTGATAGGTTTTTACTATTTTGTTCGCCATGAACGGTGGCGAAGTTCGTTCGAGACCGCTCTGCTTGGTACTGTTAAGTAGTGAGCGGTACTTGGTGGCACTGGCGAGTCTGGCACTCCATGGAACTTGAAAAGCTTCCGTTGTTTTCTAAATAGAAGCTTGCTTAGCTGAAATCGACGATAGCTTCTACCGAGGGTTTCCTTTGACCTGCTCGTCTTGTCAGCCAGAGATCTGACAGCGGCTATTGGCCACTCAAGCCATAGCAACGCTTCATGGCTTTGGTGAGCCATGCAGATGCCGCTCAGTTACCGTTGGTCTCAGACGACTTGGAAGTTTTGTCCAAGCCGCGCGAGAGAAAGCCCTTGTTGTCGAAGGAGAAACGAGTCGAGTATGTAGCACTCGCTTCCTTGATGTGGTCATTGTTCATGGAGGGTTGGAATGATGCTACAACAGGTATGTCTTTATAAATAGAAGTATGTTATGTCGAGTATATGCACTAATCCTGCATGCCAGGACCCTTGCTACCCGTGATACAAAGCCACTACAAGGTGTCTTCTATCCTCACGGGATCATTGTGCTGGCATTGAAAAGTCTGTATATAGATTGGCTACACGATTGTTTCTTTGGTATTTGTCTTGAGCGGGACCGTGCGTATATGTATATCACTGCATTGTTCTGGTTTTTGGTTGTGATTTAATCTCTGGAACTTTCACACCGCTTAGGGTTTCGTGGTTTCCGCTATCGCAAACGTTTATCTTTCACACAAAGTGGGTTTCGGTAAGGTACGGATCTATCACTACAATTTATATATGCATAACTGAGAGCACTATCGACCTGAATTTGTCTCAGGTTGTGATGATGGGTGCGGTGTCGCAGGTCATTGCATATTGCATCCAATCCGCTGCACCTCCGTTTCCAGCTTTCGTTCTTGCGTATTTCTTCTCTGGGTTCGGTGTCGCTATTCAGGTAAGTTTGCGTCGCAATAATTGATTTAGAAATACTTAACGTCAAGGTTTCACAGAATGCGCAGTCTATAGACTTCTGCGTCAGTGTGGACAGTCATAGCGCGACAAAGATGGGCCTGGTACAAAGTGCTTACGGAATTGGGGCTCTCGTCGCACCTATTGTGGCAATGAGATTTGCCGTGATGCCACGATGGTCATTTCATTTTCTGGTTTCCTTGGGAGGTGCGCTTCTCAACAGCGCACTACTGTTGTATGCTTTCCGGTTAAAAAATTTGGACGGTATGTATTCATTTCATGTTATACTGAATGAATCAATCCAGACTCACCAGTTCAATGGCCGTTAGAAATTCTTACAAGGGCAGGTCAACCTACCCGCGAAAAGTCCGAGACCCAGGAAAGCCACTATTCGCAACTCCTCAAACTCAAAATTCTACACTTCATTGCGATCTTCTTGTTACTTCTCGTAGGGGTGGAATTTGCCGTCGGAGGTACGTTGTCACGGCTGAGAACAATATTTCTTGCTCGATCTAATTATTTAAAAGGATGGATTGTAACGTTTGTGATGGTCGACAGAGGTGGAGGGACTTCCTCTGCATACCTCTCGTCTGGCTTCTTCGCTGGCATGTTTCTGGGTCGAGTCACCCTCCTATATCTCAATAAACTGGTATGTTTTACCTTTTAGGCTCTTATGATAAATTTAATTTTATCTAGCTAGGCGACATTCGAGCCGTGTGGTTATATCTCCTTTTATGCCTGGGGTAGTACTTCCTTCAGCGATTTTCGCTGACCTAAACATCCAAACTAAATAAATACCTGTAAATCAGGTTTGAAATATCGATCTGGGTCGTCCCATCATTTATCGAGAACGCCATAGCCGTGTCGTTCTTTGGATTTTTCAACGGGCCAATTCATCCAATCCTGATGAACATGTTTGGACGCCTCATCCCGCCATGGTTGATGTCTGGAGCCGTTGGATTGACTATAGGCCTCGAACAAACAGGAACTGCAATTATCCCATTTATAGCTGGAGCAATGGCGTCGAGGTTCGGCATTTGGAGTCTACATCCTCTGTAAGCTAAATTCCAACAAAAGGAATATATTTGTGTATTAGCTGACCTGTTTTATAGAATTGTCAGTATATTGGGCTTTTTACTTGTAATGTGGGCATTTGTCCCGTTCGTTGCAAAACCTCCAGATGAAACTGTCGAGCATTCTTGATATATTGCATTTGTGATAACATCTGTACGAGTCGCCTGCATAAACCTGGCATTGAAAAGACTAGGCTCTCTGGAACCTAGCGATCACTCTGGAGTAAAGCCGTAAACTCTAGTAACTACTAAAGCACGGTGCAAGGGGCTTTGGTGATATGGTACAATTACGCTGATCATTCGTCGATCACTTGGACAATGTACATGTATGACGTCAAATATTTTCTACGATACTCCCACCTCCAAGCTCTTTCACTATCCACCTTGTCATAAGTTTGCACATTAACGAGCGTGATGAAGGACAGGCTATAGCGTGTGCTAACCAGCTGGTCATTTTAACCGAAAGGATAAAGGAAGCCATCGGAGAATCTTCGGAATTTACATTCATTGATCCGATGACGCCTGACTAAATAATTGCATAAAACCGCGAAGAATATTCAATGTCTTGCGCTCTTTGCTCTTATCTTTACCCACATGAGCTTGAGCTAGACGTCTTGGTCCTGTCTTTCTCATTGCACTGAATAGCACTTACACTTGGGATGGATATGAGAAACGAAACTGAGGGCGTCGAGCTCCCGACTCTACCTTATTCACCGGAAAGATTAGCCAGGCTACCTTGGGGACCACCTCCCGCCTATGACGCGGAAGCGAGGAGGGCGAAACGTGCCGAGCGCATTGCACTCGCCGTCCTTATGTGGGCAAAGTTCATGGAGGGATGGAACGATGGCACAGCAGGCATGTAGTATACGAAGATACTTTTTCGTATCTCTAAAACACAACTTGCCAGGTCCACTACTGCCAACTATACAAAGGTTTTACAAGGTAAGTTAGAAATCCTTCGTAATATCGTTTGTGAATGCTAATCGATAAATAGATCGGGTTCACGGTCATTTCTCTAATATTTGTTTTTGGCTGCACTGTACATATGCTCATTTGAATAATGGAATGCTGCAGGACCTGACTTAGCCACACTAGGGATTCATATCGGGGGCTGTAGCAAATATCACCCTCGCATATAAGCTCGGATTCGGAAAAGTTCGTTCATTTTATCTACACCACCTACCTGTTTTTGAGGTCGCCAATTTATTATACTTTAGGCATTATGTATAGGCGCACTATCGCAGCTGCTTGCATATTGCATACAAGCATTTGGGCCCCCTTTCCTCGTGTTCGCTTTAGCGTATATCTTCTCTGGTTTTGGAATTGCCCTTCAGGTGCGTAGAGAAGTTAAGTGACAGCTTACCTTATTTACCCGTTCTGTAGAATGCCCAATCGACCTGCTTCGTTGTTAATCTTAATAATCATAGTGCAGCAAAAATGGGCTTGCTACATGCATCCTACGGAACTGGAGCATTAGTTGCTCCTCTCGTTGCCACACAGTTCTCAACTATGCGGCACTGGTCATTTCATTTCTTAGCATCGCTGGGAGGAGCAGCTATAAACGTACTCTGTCTGTTTCTCGTTTTCAAACTCCAGCCGTTAAATAGTGCGTCAATCGCTCAACAGCCCTGTGTACTCAGTGATCCGAAATTCTTCTAGCTATTCTTGAGACCACGGGCCAGACTGTCCGTCAGCAGACGGTATCACAGGATAATCACTATTCGCAAATACTAAAGATGAAGGTCGTGCATCTCATTGCGTTCTTCATACTCGCTTATGTAGGTGTGGAAGTGACAATTGGTGGTGAGTTACTGTGTATCCTAACGGAAGAGCTGCAGCCTGAATGATGTGCATGTATAGGATGGATAGTTACTTTCGTGATCAACGAGCGAGGCGGTGGCGCTTCCTCTGGGTACCTCTCGTCAGGATTTTTTGCAGGGCTGACTCTTGGACGAATCTGTTTACTTTGGCTAAACAAAGTGGTGCGTACTTGCAGGAACTAGATTACAAATTATTATTGATTTGTAGCTGCTCAGATCGGTGTAAGACGAGTTATTTGGTTATACATCCTTCTCTCAATCGGGTATTGTTATAATCATTCGAATTCACTAGTAGTGTCTAATATCATTACGTCTCTCGCAGCCTTGAGATAACCATCTGGTTCGTCCCTTCACTCGTCGAAAACGCTATAGCAGTAGCATTTGTCGGGTTGTTCCTTGGTCCTATTTATCCAATTGTTATGACTCTAACTGGTCATCTTGTACCAAACTTGCTGGTATCTGGAGCAGTTGGATGGATTGCAGTGATAGGTCAAGCAGGGAGTTCACTGCTTCCGTTCATCTCAGGTGCAATGGCGTCAAAATTCGGCGTCATGAGTCTTCAACCTTTGTTAGTCATTGCTCTCAAAAATGGACAGCTGACTAACAGTAGCTCCCACAGAGTCGTGACGGTCTTAGGCGTCATGGTTGGCTTGTGGGCTGTGGTTCCACCCGATCAGCACCACTCAGATTAACAAGCATCCCCTCTATGCTGTAAGTACATTGTCTCTCAATCCTCATGTAGGAACCTATGTTTCCTCTGTGTAACATATTCTTATACTTAGCAACTGTAATCCTTCTGACAGCAAATATCTACAGGCTTAAAAAGTAGTATTCAATCAAGCAGTCACCATTTGTAACTGTGAAAGCATTTCATCAAAGAACTATGGATTGAAAAAAAATATTTGATATGAAGTTTATTTTGGAAAGTATTCTGGAATAAGATGCCTAATAACGAATGAGTAATAATTTACACTTAGAAAACATAGTAGACCTACTTGTAAGTCTTTCTCTCACTTTCTGACCTTGTCACAAGTATAATAAATTGGATCTTTAAGGTAATGCAAATTTAATAATAGACAGATACTCAGTATTACTGATTGTCTTACTACTTCAGCCTTAGCAGAAGATAAGAAGCTGTGTATAGAACTCAAGGCTACTCAGACTGTATCTTCTATAGGAAATCCCTTCTTAATGGAAATGAGAGAGAAAGCTTAAAGATAATTATTGTTTAAATTTTGTCTACAATTGACTATAAAGCTAGCTTACAATTGTCTTGAGTTTATTCTTGGCTATAAGTTTCAAGCTTGCCTGATAGTAGGATGAAAGTTGATTTGCCTTTTCTCCTTTGTAATTTGCATTATATATAGGGCTAACTGTGTGAATAATGTTTTGCCTTTCTAATATTGTATTAGATACAAAATTATACAAGAGTGTGTAGTTGTAATACTTATGCAGGAAGCTTGAACCTATCAGTAATCTTTGCCTTTCCAACTTTACAGTTGCTCAGATTTTTGCCTATTTAATATAAAAATTAAGTACAATTCTATATTAAGATAGTATATTTACTCACATACTTTGATCAGCTCTTTGCCTACAGTAGTCTGTATTTCAAAGTTGACTAAAGAGTATACATTTATGATCCATTAATAATCCTCTCAAAGTAATAATAATAATAAAAGAAATAATAAAAATAAAAAGTGATTGTGTACTAGTGCCTCTATTACTGTCTAGTATAGTAATTTTATTAAATATAATACAGCTAACAAGGTGGTTACAATTACTTTGTTACCTAGTAAATCAGTTCTTACTAAGGTGACCATAGTATCTACTCTCAAGTAAGTAATATTAGACACTTTTTAAGAAGATATAACAAATATCCAATATTAGACCTGATCTAAATAGTTAAACTAGAGTAGGAAGTACTTATGAAAGGAATATTTTGTCAAGGTACAACTTTATTATCTTATTTGTATATAACTCTCAATGAGTATATGTCTTTTTCTTTACCTTTCTAGTAGGGTTCCTTTTCAGAGGTGACTTGCCTATTAGTTCAGAAGTTATAGAAGAATAGAAAGATAGGTATTCTCTGTTCTTGTTAAGGGAATACTGTTAGAATAGATAAATCTTACCTTGTTGTTTGCCTTATGTACAAATAGGACTACTATTCAGTACATAAGTGCTTGTACTACTCTAGTAGAGTAACTTTATAGTTTGAGTAAGTACACCTTCTTCTAAGTCTTAGGAGACAGGAAAGTATAGTTAATAAGGGTCAACCTTCTCAGAATAGTAAAAACTCTAATATATTTAACTATTTCATATTTGGTTCTGCTAGTATCATACTAAGTACTGTATCTTAATTATAGTAGAACCTTGTTTTTGAGTGTATTACAAGTCTAGTGTATTTCAGTTGTATAGGTTCATTTATTTGTAAGGTGCTTAAAAATAATGTTCTAATGTTTTATAAACAGAGCTCTCTAATAAACCTTAACCTTGTTTGTACAGCCTGTTACTTCTTGTTATTCTATCTGAATCCTATAATACAGAATTAATAAAGGAAATACAATCCATACTTGTATAGTATTGTTAGTCTGTAGTGATTGTTATAGCTATTAACTACTCTACTATCTTATTAATACTCTATTTCCTTAGAAGTACAAATATTTATAGAAGTAACTCTGTAATACAAGTAGTAAGACATTATTTGCTAAAATAATACTTAGGATTTAAGAAGACTATACTCTACTTCCTACTTAATTTTAGTCTGTATACTATCAAGTTCTTAATAGTAACTCATAGTATATACTCAGAAATGTTAATTTACTATATATAATAATATACTTTAGTACTTATAGTTCAAATACTGTTATAGTTATTGTCTGATTGTACATGACTATAAATTAAGCATCTGACACCTTCTATAGTGTGTAAGAGAACTACTGATTGGCTCATATCTGTCACTTTCCTATACTTTATTAGTGTAGAGACTAAAGTGAATAATTAAGTTGAATAGAACAGACTCTTATACTAAGAGAATCTGACAAAGTATTTAATTACTAGTAATTACTTATGTACAGAATAGAGACAAACTGAGTACAGAAGTAATCCATCAGTATTGTCTGCCTGAACTTAGGAGTTGTTAGTACTGAATAGAAAATACTCATATTTAATACCTGATTTAATAACACTTTATAGTACTATAAGACAAAAGGGTAAATAATAGCTTAAAACAGAGAGTTTATAATAGTATTATTATAGTAGTTATGTCTGTCTAATATAGTAAGGTCAGGAATGGCACCTTTAGATAGTAGTAAGCTTACTCAAATTGTGATAGTAACTTAGTAGTTACTCTTATTAGAATATTCTTTGATACTGTATCAAACTCAGACTGTAACAGACCTTTTAGAATATTCATTCCAAATCAGACACTGTCTATACTATAGTTACTAATGTCTGGTCCTAGACTCAGTAGACTCAGTCTGGACACAGGACTGGACCTAAGAACCAGTCCTCTACAGTCCAGTCCTTATAAGTCTAAGAGGGGTCCAGTCCTGTATCTATCAAATTGAGAAATTTCCTAGACTGATAGATTAGTCTAGACTCAGACTAGACTCTAGACTTGAATAATTTGTGTGATTGTTTATAGTACAGAATTATTTGTAGTACATATACTGATATTAATTTCACTTTTCAGTCTCTTTGATTACAACTTTAATTTCCTTCTTGTATAATATTTCTCTAGTACTAAGAGTAGTATTACAAACTTGCAAATCTTTAACAGAGAAGCTATACTTGTTCTAGACAATTGTAAGGAATTTGTACATTATAATCTTTGTTTGTACAACATATTCAGAGCCAGAAGTTGTAACAACTGGTAACAAACAAGTACATTTGATACACAAAGCTGGATCAGGCCTAAGTATACATTTAAATATTTCCTCTAGATTAACATCCTTTAAATATATAAACACACATATATATGTGTTGCCTGTAAATAGGGGGGGGGTATTACACATGTTGAGAGTAGTCTTTAATACTAGACACATTTGAATCCATAGAGATCTTAAAGACTTATTATAAAGGGCTTTATAATTAGTTATATTACTTATGTACTTAGATACAAAGAATAATGTACTAACACATCTTAAATTGTTCTCTCAAGTCCAGTCATGGATGGTCTGAAACCAGACTAGAACTTGGGTCCAGTCTAGTAACTGTTCACATAGGTCTGGTCCACAGTCTAGGACACTCCCAGACTATAGTTTTAGTCCAGTCCTGAGTCTAGGTGAAGTACACCTAGACTAGACTAGGACTAGACTTTAGCAACTATAGTCTGAACCAACTAAGGATTTCCTCTAGCCTAAGAGCTCTGTCTCCCTTTGTGAATGGCTTGTCAGAGTGTACAATTCAGATTAGTTACTAGGACCACAATATTTCTTAATATAATGAATGAGCTAAGTAGCTTAATATTACTATGTGTTACTAGGCTTGTTTAAGCTGAAAATGAATAGTACCTAATTGCTCAGTCACTGTATCTTTATATTTACCCTGCCCTCTTTACTATACTCATCAAGTTCAGATGAAATGAGAAACAGTTTTTATTAATAAAAATATGTACATAATTAAAGGAAATGCATTAAGAAGGGCTGTTACTTGTAAAATGTTAAGAATGAAATGACTGTTGGGTGACATTATACTGTAGTACTTGGAAAGTAGTTGGGGACAAGATGCCTATTACTATATGAGCATTAAACAACTTCTTAAAAGACAAAGCAAACACACCTGTATGCCTTTTTCTCATTTTCCAATCTTGTCACAAGCACAATCAATTGTACCTTTGAAGTAGTATGAATACACAAAATGTATGACAAAATTACTGATCAACCCACCCCATCTGCTTGCAAAGATGATAGGAAGTAGTGTATAGACTCTAGAGTAATGCAGACTACTTCTTCCACAGGAAAGCCCTTTTCAACAGAAATCAATAGGAGTGCCTACAGAGTAATTAGGAATTTCGAATTTGAGTTCATGTAAATCATTGTCTAACATTTACAGTAACTTACAATAGTCTTTAACCCATTTTCTGATGCACATCTCAGGCTTCTACAATAACACGATTCAAGGTGTTGTCTCCTCTCTTCTGCACGCCTTGCATTATACACAGGACCAACTGTGTGTGTGATATATTGTCTTATAATAGGTACCAAATGTTAGGTATAACAATAAATTTTGTTTTGGGATACACACGTAGGGAGCTTAAAAGCATAGGTGATTACTACATCCCTGACTCTACATACACCCTTATCCCTGCCTTTGTTGTATAAGTATAAAGCTGCTACTGTAATTATTTTGCATATTTACATACTTCTACTAGCCCCTTTCCTGCAGCTTACTGTATATTATGGTCAACTGAACAATGCAGATCAGTTGAGAAAAGATACTTCCCCTATAACTGTTTCATACCCGTTCCAGAGTTGCTGCCTTGTATCATAAGGGTATCAGCCAAAGTGGAAGAGGACATCATGAAAATTACCTAGTAGATCAGCTCTTGCTGAAGTGACAATAGTGTCCACTTTGAGTTGAGTAATATCACAGTCTCTTCACAGCCAAGTCAGCTCTAACACAAATATGAAAGATATGAATGTGCTCACATTAGTGATATCCTATCAAGGTACAACTTAAGTGTCTTATCTGTGTATAATTCCCAAAGAGTAGGGATTCCACACTTGCGTTTCTCAAACGCGTCTTTTTTCTCGGACACATCCTTTTTCTCAGACAAGTCTTTTTTCTCAGACGCGTCTTTCTTGCTACAAGCTGACTTTATGCAACACATGAAGGAATGTAGAACGAGATACGCCTTTCGACCTTACCAAATCCAGGGGTGGCTATGGGGATGGATGTACTACTGCCTCTTCACACGGTTTAAATACACTGCTGATTGCTATCTAAGCAACCAGTATCAAAGTGCCTCATGTCGAATAGTTGAATTACTTCGTGTATCCATGGATCAAGAAGAATACAAATATTTCGAAGGTATAATAGCATCTATATTCAATGATGTTCCTTCCTCGATTCCCCCGGGTCAGATCTTTTGCTAGGGCTAAACTAAGAAACGCTGTTCTCCTTAACAGAGCCTCCTACCTTGAACCTCGAACTTTGTACTCAGTATTGCTATGCACTTATAGCCGCCTTGGACTCCAGTCATTAGAGAAGTCCAGAGCAGGTGTGTTAGGATTCAGTAACACACTGATGGATCACAGGTTTGAGGTTCTTACAATCAGTTTGCATGCTGCTCTTCTATGTCAACCACGGTGCTCCATATTCATCACTCGGTACGAAAGAGCACATGGCAATGGATCAAAGCCATCGATAAACGCTAGCAGTGAAACTGATATTCAGTAGCGCTCTACACGTGCATCTCTGGATATCCTCCTGCAAGAATAACTCCTTGTTCGCCAGCTTCCTTCAATTTCTGCATGTGGACTTCCAGCACCTGCTTGAATTTCTCCATATTTTCCGAGGACGCAGAGTTGAAGGGTTTCTCCCCGAATGCAATTTGCCTGATCTGAGTGCCCGAGACGATTATTGAAAGAAAATCTTCGGCCTCTGGCAGAAGAGTCCGTCGCGCGCTTTGTATACTTCCCGATAGAAGTAGATTCGGGAAGTCCGGTTCCTCGCACGCAGGTCGTGCGACACCAATGAGATCCGTGGATCCTGAAGTGACAGTACGGACCATTCCTTCGCCCGTGCGAAAGCCGCCCGTTAGGATGACCTTGCTCGTCTTGACTGCGGGGCGGATAATATCAGCAAATTCCACGAAAAACGCTGAATTAGATTTCAGGAACTCGTTTTAGATCTGTAACATTGAAATCTAGACACGAGCACATACCTTCGCGCTTACGAGTCGACTCGCGCTTATGGTGAAACCCAAACTCTTCGTAAGTTCCGCCTGACAGCTCGATGAAGTCTACACCAAATGACTCCAGGTGTGCACAAACGGTCCTGCATTCCTCAGGCTGAAATCCACCATGCTGAAATTCGACTGAATTAATCTTGATGGCGATAGAAAAGGTAGGAGGAACGCGACGTTTCATTTCTTCTATGATACGATAAATGATACGAGCTCGATTCTCTAGAGGTCCACCATATTCGTCCGTACGCAGATTTGTTGTGCTGGAGAGGAATTGCGCTAATAGATAACCATGTGCGCAGTGCAACTGGATCCCATCAAAGCCAGCTCTGTAAGCAAAGTCGGCGCTGTACGCGAACTTATCAACGCCACAATCAGTAGCGAGCCTAAGCCAGAGTGATGGAGCGTACCTGCTCCACTATCTCATCAATGTCACCCTTTGTCAAAGGTCTCGGTTTCCCGAAGCCCGTTCCGACACGTCGCTCCAGCTGAACATCACTTGCTGAAACCGGATTTGGATTCAAGGAGTCTGAGGTCTGCCTTCCGCAATGATTAATTTGCATGATCATCAGAGCGCCATGACGCTTCCCCGCTTCCGCCCAACGTCTGAACGCGGAAAGACGTTCAGGACTCTCGAATGGCTTATAAACAATTGCGTTCCCTGGATTCTGTAAATCAACCGGTGTGATCATTGCGTTTCCAGCTGTATGCGGAAGCAATTAGCATATAGCATTTAATCGATGGAAAGGCTTACTGATTATCATTCCGTACCCTCCCTTCCCCCATTCCTCGTAAACACGGATGAGTTCGTCGGTTGGGATACCTCGCTTCTCGAGACGAGCCTGGTCCCAGGATGAGAGTTCTTCTGTCATAGCAGCTTTCACAAACCGTGAGGGCAGTGTGAGCTTAGAGAACGGTAAGGTAACATGGTCTGCTAGGATTCGGGTGTCGACAACATTAGCAGGAAAGCGCTCGGAGTCAAGTTCAAGTCCCATTCTGGCTTGTAGTGACGAATGAGTGGAGGTAAGGAATGCAGTGTAGCGGCTTGGCAATGGTCGTGTCTGCCTGCAGGGACGATATATGTGGTGAGGCTTTTAAACGGCAACAGCCCATCGCTTAGACATAAGTTTATCCGCGCCGAGTTGCTTATTAGGCAATCCACTGAAGTTTTCAATGATCGGAAGTATTTTCAATGTTTCACTAGAAACTGTCCAAGGATAGTATGTAGCCTGCTGTAACAGTGGAAGGACAAGTTGGAATTGGAACCTAGAAGCACTGCCCTTGATCAATCGAACAGCTTCAATGCAAGCCTCACTTGCTTCTCTATTGACAGTTGCGGAACACAGGTATGATTGTTTTTGGTCGGCGCCTACGGAAACCTACATACATCATCTGAGGCTATATGAGCCATCGGTACAAAACGCGGTAAATAGTTTGACAAATAACTGCTCACCACTATTAAAGCCACAGTTAAAGCTTTATTTTTGACTAGCATTTAGTTCCTCAAGAATCCGCGCGTGAGTATCCATAGCATTGCGAGTCCAGCATCGCGGAACATCAGGATCGTCCTTATTTTGGTCTTCAGGATAGAACAATTGATGTCGATTATTATCACCGACTGATAGAAAAACATGAAAATTGGAAAAGAAAAGCTCGTGACGTGCCTCATATGACCATGGACCACGCAATCCAGTTGCAAGTACACCACGCATCACATCTAAGACTGGAAGAAATCCAGGACGCGACACCTTCTGGAACGGAAGAGGACGATATGCATTTGAGTATGCATATAGAGAGTGGATACCCTGTGCTTTTGCATCCACTTCAAGTACATGGGAATCAATGCGCGAGCCATCGCTAATTTGCAGATAGAATATTTTGTCTGTGTGCCGGCTGAGCGTATGTGTAAGACCTGTAAAGGATTCCGACAGAGACGCCGACGGTGGAGGGACGTTCGATGGTGAGAGAGCATTGGGTAGACAGATCTCCGACGCCAAATGAGTCACTGTCAAGAGCATTATCCAAGAGGAGTTGGTGAGATGATCTGGCTGCAAGTCAAACGACAAGACATACCGGACATCTGGGAGGTGTCAAGACATAACCCAAAATTAGGCCGATCTATGCGTCGGCAAATATCAAGGTGTGCTCCCGGAATTTCTTAAAATATTAAGATTTGTTAGGGTAACAATGAAATACGCGGCAAGGCATACTTACACATATGTTCCCCATGCCCACATTTCGTATGCACTAAAGGTGCATTAGATACCAGGTTAAAATGCATGTGTTCGAAACCATACACTCACATTAGGACCGGAGGGTCTTGGGCCACTGCTTCGTCTGCTAAAGCTCGAAGGTTTTTCGACATAAGGTCATAGTCAGAGCTGATAAATGGATCATTCGAGGAGCCGACTTGGAGTGTTCTACACCCTAGAGCCTGAATACACTGATAAGTATCTCACGTATCTATGCGGAAAGTCAGCTAGAATAGCTTCATCACTTTGAACCATGCTCTTGCACGATTTAAGCCCTGTTCGATTTTTGAAGCATAATTATATCCTTCGAACTGTGAGGATCTGGTGTGAATAGAAATATGAGAAAGTATGAAAATGGTAAATAACAGGCAACGTACGGCATGACAGGGAGGACACGAATACCTAGTTGGTCGCAAAGTTTTCTTGTGTCCTTCGCAGCATCTATTTCCTTATATCCATTGAAATTGAGGACGCATATTTCTCAAGATCTGGAAGTGCGATTTCTGTCCACTTGAAGCCAACCTCCGAGATTGCCCTGAGCTTTGAAGGAAGAGTATGTGACGGGTGCATGCCCGCAGAGGCAGTTGCATAAGACGTTTTTATCTGCTTCAGCTCTTGAATATCGAGAGACATGGTGGTAGTAGAAAGAAAGAAAGCTGGAATTGCACATTTTGCTCGCATTCGTCAAGTCGAGCATCATCATGGAGCGAGCATCTGTTCATTTTGGTGACTGGTCGCCCAACATGCGATTGACGGGATGACATAACAGCTGCCACATTTGGTGATCTAGTGTCGATCAGTGAGTGGGTCTGGTGTGGACAGTGGACACGTCGAACAAGGGAACCTGACACCTCTGCTCACCCACAAGATGTCCCCTGTCTCGTATCATATTGCCCAATACAAACATGCAACCCTCGTTGAACCTAATCCGAGTCTCGAAACTCCAGAAAATAGTCTAGCCATACTCTATGAGGTTGCGTGGAGGGACCAAGATGAAAGCGCGCTGTTCCACCAAATGCCCGTTCGACGTGACGTTTGCAAGATGAGGAATATCAAGGTCCCCGAGAATATGACCGTGTTGAAATGGAAACACGATACACCTTTCCTCAAGCTTCACAAATTAACAGGGATCCTGATTAGGGATGCATATTGTAGGATGTTGCAGGCAATTGAGTCTGCTTTGTGGCCGACGACGGAGGCAGATAAAAGTTCAGATGCAGCCATGGATGTTGAATTGGATTCACGGTACAATCCTTTCAATACCAACGTCAAACCAGAAGAAGAGGTGGAGGGTATAGTAGTGTCTGGAGGACCTGGTATTGGTGTGTCCGTTTGCACTACCCTGCTCCGCTCCCATTGAACGTGACTGTAGGAAAGTCCATGTTTATGGTCCACATTCTTACACTGTGTCTCCTGGCTCACCGACCTGTCGTCTGGCAGACTAATGCAGAAGATGTAAGGTAGACGAAACATAAACTCAACTAGCTGCGTGACGCACGTGATCTACCCTGAACTGCCTAAATCAGACACAAACTATGACAAGGAAACTCGTTCAACCACAGAGCCGAAATCCACAAAGTAGCACCATAGAATTGTTAGAATTATGCTTTTCTACAGAATGATGTAACAGATTTTCAAAAAAATAAAAAATGACCAAGTTATTTCCAAAAGACTATTTTTTGCTCTAAATGACCTGATTGTTATTTTGCCACACACAAAAAAAAATTCTACAAATTCTTGTCAAATTTCACCGTCCTCAGCTACAACATTATGACAAATACCTCCCATATATGGCAACTACATAATATTATTAATACATACTATAATTGTCTCAACAGAAAGCAGGCTTAGTGAGCCAGTAAGAGGTACTCATATCATATATACTGTTACAGAAAACTGTAGATAAGATGTAGATGTATATTTAACAAAAAAATACTGATAATATTTTTTTTTGCCTTGCCCTCTTGTAAATTTCGCTGCTAGGGTCCTTCCTAATTAGTTAAGCGAGTCCGTGACACGTTACTGTCACAGCTTGTCGAGTTTATCTTTTGTCTACCTTACTTGTATTTGTTGAGGAAGGAGTCTATTCAGCTCTGTTGGAGGGTCACCTGTTCCTTTACATTCCAAATAGTACTTTCTACCTATCTGATTGCATCTCAGAATGCCTTTTCCCCAACATCAGGCTAATGATCAACCTGATCAGATTAAAAGAAGCCAAGCTCTTGTATTTTGCATCCCTCTGTCACAAAATTTTTGCAGTGTTCAGGAAATCTAAACTAGACTCAACAATGCTGTATATGGAACAGTGTACCCTGGAGGATCTTATCTGTTAGTAAGTTGTTTTTACCCACTTTTATGTGAGAGAGATAAACCAATGAATGTTTGGTAGCTGACTTCTTTGGAACAAATTAATCTCAGAAAGGCAGCTTGAAGAGTTTATTACACCTTATAGCTTATCTGCTTGTAATACAGACATGTATGCTAGGTGTCTGGAGCAGTTCAAAGGCAAGGTCAACAACAAGATTAATTCTCTCACCATACAGGTAGTACTTGATACTGTTAGTCAAACGTTTGGCACTTTTGAATCAGCTAACAACAATGAGTTCAATTCACATGACATATTCTGTATCCAAGCACACTCTACAGACCCACAGTAATACATGATGAACATACATACAAGGTTCATATATGATAAGATCATACAGCATATGTAGTATGTTGAGCAGCAATCTGCTACAGAGCTGTTTAGGGTATTTTGTTGTAATTCACAGTCAAGGGTGTGTGCTGGATACATTATCAAAGATTGGGTTATTGGCAGGCTTCCCCAAGGTGGTGAATGGCTCTTGAAGGCAATAGAGGTATCTCTATCCAAACATTGTGTGTATTAGTATTGAGAGGTAAGGTTTTGGTGGGCTTGTTCCCTCTAGTGTTGTTGTGGGCTCTGGTCAAAACTCTCCTCCATTCCAAATAGGAAAGAACTAACTACATGAAGAAAGTGATTATGTAATCCAAAGAATTAATAAAATTAAGAAGATCTGATAGTAACTAAAATCAGAACTCTTCACCTCCCCAAGCTTTAAATAGTGACTGTCCTCAGTCACTTGCTTTAAGAAGCAATAATAAAGGGTAAGCATAAGGAGTGTGGGTAAGGATAAAAGGTATCAATCAAAGTAAGATAAAGAAACAAAGAGTGTGAGTCTCAAGTAAGAATGAGTGTCCATAAAAGAAAGGAGTATAAGGGAATGTTAGAGTAAAGAGAATGTAACCTGTACTAAGGCCAAAGGCTTGCCAGACCAATCCTCTCCAACTCTAACATAGATGGTAGTAGTAGTGAGTAGTTGGTTTCATCTAACAGCTGCTTGGGTCTCAACCTGACACTTCTGGTTCTGATCTGCTAGGTCTGTCAAGGTCAAAATCTGATTACTGTCCTTGAAATCCTTCATCTTGTACTCAGTTAATGTGAAGAACAGCCTCCTGATTATTATGTTGAACATTGTGTCCTTCACTACATGAACTGGCATCACTATTAATATTCCACCTACTAACACCTTGAGTCTTGGAATGACACCTTCAATTGCAATTGATCCTGCATTTGCTGGCCTGAGGTTTGTCTGTACTTGCTCCTTTGGTACTCTTAAGTGTTTCCAAACATCTTTACACATCATGTTTATAACAGCTCCCTGGTCTAGTAAGCTCTCAGTCTCCAATTTGTTGTTCAGCTTTACTATCACTAGCCTGACTGGTACACTTCCAGCCTTGTTGTTGCTGACTAGGGTGCCTATCCAACACTCCCTTGCTCAACACTGCTCTGATCTGACAGCTTCTGACATCCTCCTGTATAATCCACTCATACTCAGTATTCTTACTAGGCTTGACTGATTCTCATTGTCTCAGCACTTGATCCTTACAGATACACTTCCAACCTTGTTCATCCAGCTTGCTACTGCCCTTTGTAACAGCCTCTGCTGCTCATCCATCACACTATTCTCCCTTGTCCTTACTAGTACACTTCTAGCCTTGTTTACCACACTCACTCCTCTACTCTGCTCTTGTTCTTGTTCTCTAGCTCAAATCTGACTCAATCCAACATAATCTACTACTTTCCTATACAATCTGCTCATTCTTGGCTCTGCTGCTAGGCTTGACTGTGCTTTGTCATCCTTGTGTACAACACTTGTACCTGTGTGCTAATCTTCTCTACTGTCAGTCCTTGCTTCCTCACTTGTCTCTTCCTCCTCTGCCTTTGCAGGTCCACTTCTGGCCTTGTTCAGCATTTTGTCATACATCTGAGTCATCCTCATAAGCTTAGCTGCATACTGGCACTCAAGCTCCAGAGCTATTGCAAACAACTCACAGTGTGTTAATGTGACAACACTGTCCATCATCTGGTCTAAGACCTGCTTGATGATCTTGCTCAACTCAGTACTTTGCTTTAGTCTGACTTTGACTGGCTTTGTGTTAGCCTTCATGGTCCTTGCCTCCTCTCTTTGTCTCTTCACATCCCTCAAGCATTCCTCCAACCTCATCACCTCTGCATCCAAATCTGCTCCAAGAACAGCTTCATACTTTTCTCCCTCACTTGCATTTGACCTATCTTTTGCTTCATTGATTGTGCCTACTGTGAACACAGGCTTGTCTTCATAGTATCAGTCTATGCACTCCTTCAACATTGCTCCCTCTACACTGGCTGGCACAAATGCCCTACTCATCAACACAATCTTCTGCCCCAACCTCATACACTTCCCCCTCTGAGTGTACTTGCTCACAGTCCTACAGTCACATACAAAATGTCCTTGCTTTCTGCAAAAGTTGTAGGTCCTCTCATACTTCAGGTCAGATTTCACAGAATCAGCAGATTGGTCAGTTTTGCATGCTTGATTCATCAGCATCTTCCTGGACTTGCTTGCTTTGTTGACCTGAGCTTGTAACTCTTTGAGCTTCCTCACAATCTTTGCATACTCGTCTCCTGCTTCTTTCTCTGGCTTCTCCTTTGGCAACATCACTGTCTGGTCTCAGCCTGCCTCTGTCTGCCCTGCTAGAAGAACGTGGTCTGCTAGCCTGACTACATCAGTGAATTTGAACAGCTTGCTCACATCCTTGTCCACATAGAGAATCTCCAGTCATTGTGTCAGGTTCGTCCTCAGCATCCCTCTGATCCCTCTCCAGAACTCACAGTCTAACTTGCATGCTGACATATTCCCTTGCTCCTTCAAGTACTCTGCTTGCACCTGGAACTTGCAGCAGTAGCAGCCAAACTCTGTCTGCACTGTCATTTCCTTCTCACTCTGCACATTGACTAGTTGCGTGATATTGGCTCTCGTATAGCGTTGACCATTGATCAGCTCCGGATAGAGCTTTCTGATCTCCTCTTTCACAATGCTCCAATTGTGCACTCCTTTCTTCTTCAACTCGGGCACGGTAGCCCACAAACTGCTACAGCTCGTTGCTGCATAGTATGTCACTTGCTTGCACATCCACTCAGCGTCCTTCTGGAAGTCGGCAGCTAACATCTCAATGTCTTCAAAGAACCACAGAAGTTCCTCAAGCTTGCTGCCATCGAAGTACGGCGCTTCTCTTGATCCTCTTCTCGGTGGCCACATCATTGTGCTTCTCGTGCGTCAAAACGGTCGGTTCGATTCAAAACAAGTGTAGCAAGGCCCTCAAGGCCAAGATCAAGACAAAAACAACCCAGACACTTTAGAACAGAGGCACCACCCCTCACAGTGGGCTCCAAAATGAGAGGTAAGGTTTTGGTGGGCTTGTTCCCTCTAGTGTCGTTGTGGGCTCTGGTCAAAACTCTCCTCCATTCCAAATAGGAAAGAACTAACTACATGAAGAAAGTGATTATGTAATCCAAAGAATTAATAAAATCAAGAAGATCTGATAGTAACTAAAATCAGAACTCTTCAGTATGATGTTGCAAACGGCGATATCTGTTATTTCCATGTAGGGTATCAGGGTACAGCAACTGTGACAGATGAACGTGAACGTATCGATACTCGACGCCCCAATGCCGTCCCTACATTCTTGTATAATCCTGGCGACAATGGCAAGGTGGAAGCACTCCCAGAGACAGATGGGATTGGCTTACCAGTAAAGGAGAATCAACCTGCCTATGATTTATTCGTTTGGCTTGCAGGAGAGAAGCGAGCAATTGTGGTCCAAGTGACTGTGTCTTCACAACACAGTATTATTGAGAAGTGTTTGAAACAGCTGAAGACGGCTGGTGCACAGCATCTCGAACTCGTTGTTGTAACCCCTGTCTTGACAGACGGAGAAACCATGAGTGTTTATACAGACATAGCTAACCAATACATGCCAGAACATGTATATCACCTTTCTGTGACTGAGAAGGACATGAAACAGATTCCTGAACCCCCTTCTAATTTGTAGTCGATCACAGTATATGTGGATACTTAATGAGACATATTTTGCTCAATAGGACTGTGGATCAAATGAGTGGAGGCAACGAATGCAGTGTAGCAGCTTGGCAATGGTTGCATCTGCCTGCCTGCAGGGACAATATATGTGGTGAGGCTTTTGAACGGCCATCTCTTGGACATAAGTTTATCCACTCCGTGTTGCTTATTAGGCAACCCACTGAAGTTTTCAATGATCGGGGGCAAATTCAATGTTTCACTAGAAACTGTACGAGAATAGTATGTAGTCTGCTACAACAGTGGAAGGATAGGTTGGAATCGGAATCTAGAAGCACTGTCCTTGATGATCGAGCAGCTTCAATGTAAGCCTGATGTGCTTCTCTATTAACAGTTGCGGAACACAGGTACAATCTTGTTTTTGGTCGGCGCCTACGGAAACCTACATACATCATCTGACATTATATGAGTCTTCGGTGCAAATCGCAGTAAATAGTCTAACAAATAAGCTGCTCACTGCTATTGAGATCTTGATTAAAATGTTTATTTTTGACTAACAGCTAGTTCCGCAAGGATTCGTGCATGACTATCCATAGCGTCGCGCGTCCAGCGTCGTGGAACGTCAGGATCGTCCCTATTTTGGTCTTCGGCATAGAAAACCTAATATAGATTGTTAGTATAAACTGATTGAAAAAGAGAAAAGGAAAGGACGTGCCTCATACGACCATGGACCACGCCACCCAGTCGCAAGTACAGCACATATCACATCCAAGACTGGAAGAAATCCAGGACGCGACACTTTCTGGAATGGAAGAGGACGATATGCATTTGAGTATGCATATAACGGATGAATACCCTGTGCTTTTGCCTCTGCTTCAAGCGCATGAGGATCGATGCGTGAGCCATCGCTAATTTGCAGATAGAATATTTTGTCTGTGTGCTGGCTGAGCATATGTGTAAGATCTGTAAGGGATTCCGACAGAGGCGTCGACGGCGGAGGGACGTTGGATGGTGAGAGAGCATTCGGTAGACAGATCTCCGACGCCATATGGGTCACTATCAAAAGCATAATCGAAGAGGAGCTAGTGAGATGATCTGGCGGCGGGTCAAAGACAAAAGGCATACCGGATATCTGGAAGGTGTCAAGACATAACCCAAAATTAGGCCGATTTACGCGTCGGCAAATGTCAAAGATGTGTTCCCAGGAATTTCTTTAAAATATTAAGATTTGTCACAGTAGCGGTAAGATGTCCCAAAGGCACGCTTACACATGTATTCCCCACGCCCACATTTCATACGCACTGAAGTAACGTTAAGTACAATATTGAAAATGTATGTGTACGAAAAGCGTCTATTCACATGAGGATTGGAGGGTCTTGGACTGCCGCCTCCTCTGCTAAAGCTTGGAGATTTTTCGCCATAAGGTCGTAATCAGAGCTTATAGATGGATCATTCGAGGAGCCGACCTGGAGCGTTCGGCACCGTAGAGCCTAGACATACGGATAAGTAATTCATACATCTATATTGCAAACGAACTATAATACCTTCAATACTTTGAACCAAGTTCTCGCACGGTTCAATCCCTGTTCAAGCTTTGAAGCATCGTCATAGCCTTCGAATTGCGAGAACCTAATATGAATTGAAGGATGAGACAGTATGGTAATGATGAATAATAAGCAACCTACGGCATGACAGTGAGGACACAAAGACCTAGCTGATCGCAGAGTTTTCTTATGTCCTTCGCAGCATCCAGAAGCTTGCCTATGTCCCCGGTGCCTGAGGAGTCAAGTTCCTTATATCCGTGGGAACTTGAAGACGCATATTTTTCAAGATCTGGCAGAGCGATTTCTGTCCATTTAAAGCCAGCCTCTGAGATTGCCCTGAGCTTCGAGGGAAGAGTATGTGACGGGTGCATGCCTGCAGAGGCAGTTGCATAAGACGTTTGTATCTGCATCAACTCTTGAATATCGAGAGACATGGTGGTGGTAAAATGGAGAAATGTCGAGAGTTACTCATTTTGCTAGCATTCGTCAAGTCGAGCATCATCATGGAGCGAGCATCCGTTCATTTTGGTCGTTCAACATCCGATTGACGGGATGACATAACAGCTGCTGCATTCGGTAACCGAGTCACGCGCCGATCAGTGAGTGAGTGACGCTACCGTATTGGTGGCTGTTCCCAACTCGTCTAAAGGAATACGACTCACCTTCCGCGTCTCGCAGCATCTTTCTCTCTCTCTCTCCTTAACTCATCTCTCTCCTCCTTTCGTTCATTATCGACTTTCTATAATGACTATCTTTGGCTGGTTCAAGAAGGTAACCTTTGACATGCCTTGCTCTTGTTCGCAACTTGCTGAATACTAAACGTGGATAAGCAGAAAGAACCAGAGAATTATGAAGAGGTCCTCGAGTCGCTCGCTCTCGATATTCGAAAGAGACAGATGCGTCTTTCGGAAATCAGACTACGTGAACGGCGGACAACGCTTCTGATTACTTTGTACACCCTCGCAATTTGGGCGGCGTATATTGCCGCATGGTACGCCGGCTGGAGACCCCTGAAGGCTTTCCCAATATTCATTGGACCTATAATGTACGAGCCGTTGTTTCCGGGATATATTTTACGGCTGACACGTTTTATTTCTTAGAATTCAGTTCTCGCGTCGAATAGCCCAGACGTGGTATGAACGGATAGGGAACGCAGAAGGTACATACCACAAATCGTGTGGGCTCAGTTGAAATCGCGTCTAACGAACATTCCCATATAGAAAAAACGTTAAAGGAGCTGCAGTCTCAGCAGCGCAGCAAAGTCGAAGAATTCAAGAAGAAGATGAATTATTATTCAACGAAGAACCTCATTGAGCGATATGACTCGCCATCTGCACCAAACACGCCTGCACGACCACGACCGGACGCGCCACCTGGAGCTAGATTACAGCAAGGACAGATGACTCTGCAGAGAGGTGTACAGGGACAGCCAAACGGCTTTCCGCAGGCTAATAGGGGTCAGCCTGCACTGGCGACACAGGGTATGTGTAACTAGTATCGCAGTCACATACTTATACTAAAGTAAGACTATTACACGAATTTGTATATTGCAGGCCAACAAGTACCACTTTCCCCACCCCGAAAGCAATGGTATGACAAACTTGCGGATGCTCTTCTCGGAGACGACGAATTGTCCGACAACCCCAAGAATCGCTATGCTCTAATTTGTCAAAAATGCTTTACACATAATGGTCTTGTGAAGGAGGAATTATGGGAAGACACACGTGAGTTAAATATCATATCAGTTTTCGAAGGACACTCGCCTAACGGAATATTCCACGTTTTCTATGTGCAGAATTCGTCTGTCCGAAATGTGGGCAGTTCAATCCGTCTATGCGTGCCCTCAAGGCAGGCCGCGGGCCGACATCTCCCCAACAGACTCATCCTGATATGCAATCCCAACGGAGAGCTGGTCCGCGTATGTCCGCGCCTATACATAGCACAGGTCCATTACTTCAAGTGGAAGCGTCCGGGCTCGATCGGCGTCGCTCGCTTCCGGCACCAAATGTGAGTGTCATTACGAGTGACGAGGAAGATGAACAACCTCGAGCAGAAACGAACGCGCGTGCTCGTCGATCACCATTTTCTCCGACTGTACCGCTTCCTGAGCATGAAGAAGAGGATGAAAATGAGGAGCACGAGTGATTTTCTTCATTTTCTCTTTCATTATACTTTCTTTCCATCATTACTCTACAGTTCTGCATTGTCGAATCTACAGGTAAATCTTGAATACGACTCAAACACTACTTCCGTTTTCTGTAGCATTCCTATCCCGCTTTTCACATCTATCCATCAAGCTATCGTTCGTGATTGTTATGTTCACTCGACTTATTTCCCGCTAGTATTCACACGTCGATACGTCCTTACTAGCACACAGTCTTAGCAGTATACGTATAATAAAGAGACCATCGTACTATATCATCTTTGACTGTCCTGCAAGGACACCGTTCTTCGAGAATGCAGTAATCATCAGCAACGTCACGACAATGGTAAATACCTTGCGGAAGGTCCGCTCTATCCAGTCCTACCTCCTGCAAAATGGGTATCTTTGCTGATCAACCCTCTGCAACCGTTGCTAGGAACTGCTGCCTTTCTAAGCTCCATGGGGCGCAAAGATACACGTGTTCCTTTGGTGCAAAATGCCACAAGCATATGAAAGTATGGCCGGATCAGTTGGGATGTGATCACCTCAGCAACAGTGCCAAGAAAATGTCCCAAAGACACTCAGAGCAAGAACCTGACAAGGAACGTTTACTCCTTCCAAGGAGGGCTACTAGTTTGGCAGAGGCCTCGTCAGAATATGATAAAGCTATCCATGAAACGCAGAATGCCATAGCCTCTGTATCCACACAGCTTGCCAGACCGAAGCAGGTTTTGAGATACGTCAAGGAAGGCCAGAAGAAATTCGAAAAGGCACGAAAAGCTCTTGGAATGTTAGTACTAGCGGTGTCCCTGGAAGAAAGCAAGAATACAGAAGCTTCTGAAGCGAGGGACGCGAAAGGTAGTAGCCATGGCGAAAGAAAGTCGAAGTCTAGACATCTCAGTAGACGGAGTGATGCAAACAAAGATAGCAAGCGAGCAACAAAAGCATTCGAAGACGCGGTAAATGCCTTGGAGGACGTGAAGCGGAGACATTACGAAATGGCCAGCGCGAATTTTGGTCTATCTCTTAGAAGTGCTCATGACGAAAAAGCAGACGCGGCGATGGACAAGTTCTTTGAAGATGCTTGTTATTTGCTCTACTCGAGATCTGTCAGGCACAGTGATACGGCGTCACAATATTGGAAGCAGCTCGCCGAGAAACTCGAGACAAACTGCAAGCACTGTGATGGAATTAACGGGAAACTGACAGATGAAAAGCTCAAGTTCAGAAAAGAACATAAGTCAAAGAAGTTCGAGACGCAGAACCCTGCAGACGCCGAATTGATGACTCACAAAGTAAATGAGATCAAGCAAAGCGTTGCGGGTATAGCAGAGGAGCTCATGAGAAGGCATGACGCGTTGAAAGAGACACAAGACGCCATGTCTAGGTTGAGAGTAGAGGCAGAGCAGGAGAAGACGACGGCAGACAAGGCCACGTGAGTGGACAACTATCACGACTTGTCCGACGGAGTTCAGTTAGAGACAGTGCGAAAACGCTGCAATTTGCTTTGCTTCCCACCCTAGATGCCGGTCCAGGGCCCCTCCATCTAAATTGTAAATGTGCATATGTGTATTTTCCATAGTGTGATTTGAATTGAGTCCGAATCTAAAAGATCTTCAGAGATAATGCGTTCCGCAGAGTGCAGAGAACCGACAGAACTTACCAGCAGAGGAGCAGCGAAAGTATCTCAAAGGGTCCCATCAGTCGTGGAGATATTCAGCTGGAGAAGGCTTGTGTCGCTAGGAGTCAGCCATAACGTAGAACCAAAGTTATCTTCCCGTTACGCCGTAAGCATCGGAGCTCATTGCATTGTCGAGGTGAGTAGCAAAGATGCACGTGACCATAAAAGAAGAAAAATTCGCATTATCGCAACTTGATACATCGCTATTACTGCCTCGACATGCGAATCTAGAGCGCAAAGCACATTTCAGCTAAGGGAAGATACAGCAAGGTCCCAAGGCAAGTACCAGAAAGAGCAAGGAGGCGGCGTCTGAAAGAACGTTGAAACATTTGGGCCTTGGACCTTGGTTAAGCGAGAACTACACATAACGATGTTTCTGAAGCACTTCGGTCGTTGCTCTCGGAATATACGAGGAAGAAGAGGAAGAGGAGTATAACGAGTACCCTCCTCCCGATCATTGGCTACTATGCAATGGCATGAGTCATTGGGTGTGCTGAGATGACTGGTGCGTTTGCTCAGAAATTTGCAAGTGGACACGTCCTTCTTTCGCCAATTGACATAATATGCTTGCACAACCATTCACATGAACTACGCCCATTATAATGGTGCACTTGCTCTTGTGCCACTCCGACTATGCGGAGCACTATCGCTACTTGTGTCTTGTAGACATCTAGATCGGTACGCTTGCAATTTCATCAAGGTTGCGTTGCTTGACAAACTGGGTCACAATGCCTTAAGGCTGAATCGAATGCCTATCTTCCCTACAAGCAACGTTTACTCGCAATGCAGCTCAGCACTTAGGAACACATCCGACAGCGAACACTGTCTCCAGCGACTAGGGACTATGCCCCAAGGTCAGCGAAACGCCTCGGAGGATCGTTCTGACTCAACCCACTCAGAGAAGATTGATGTATTCGGAAATGCTGTATCAGACTATAACGGGGTTTGGGATGAAACACACAATACCTACAAGTCTGCTCTTTATACCATCTCCCGACTGACAATTAGCCTCAAATTCGTCAATGAAGGTAGCAGAGCACTTGACAAGGCTGTGAAGACACTCAAAGACATGGAGGAGGCAGAGTCCCAGAAAGCCAAGGAGACTGAAGCTAGTACAGAAAAAAGTGGCCATAGTAAAAGGAAGTCTATCTCTAGTCATCTGGTGGCAGCTAGCACAGAGAAAAGTGGAAAACGAGCGGGTAAGGCATTTCACAGTGCGGTGGATGAACTAAAGAACGTGAAGCGGAGGCATTACGAACTCTCCTGTGCAAATTTCTCCTTCGAAAATGCCAGAAGTGATCGTGATCAAGAGGCTGACAAGGCGATAGACAGGTTCTTTGACGACGCTTGCTACTTGCTAAATTCGCGATCGGTCGCGCACTGCGGCACAGCATCCGAGTACTGGATCCAGCTCATCAAGGAACTAATATTACTCTCTCTGAAAAGTGTAAAACAGTCAAGGATAAATTGAAGAAAAGTAAGCGGACCTTGGAGTCGGAGTGTCTAGAAAGTGAATGTCAGGTCCAAGAAGATTATAAAATAGATAAAGACGATAGAAAATGGGCTGATGAAATAAGGAAGATGCGAGGGAGCGCTTCAAGAAGCAAGAGGAGTGTTGCAGAAGTGGAGGAGGGACTCATCAATGAAAGCCAGACGCTGAAAGAGACACAAGCGGCCATGAACAAGTTGAGGAGACAGGCTGAGCAAGAGAAGACTTTGACGTCAGGAAAAAGTCAAAATCTATATATAATCTTATAGTTATTATAAAGTGCAATATGTTTAATATATAGAATATATAGTAATTATCTGTATTTAACTCTATTATAAGGTAAAAATCAGTCTTATATGTTCTTATAAAGGCTCTATCAGTATTATTCATTAATATAATATGGTAAATATATTTTAATAGTCTTATATAAAGAGTAAAAGTATTATAATAGTATTATATTTGAAGAGAAAGACTTATATCTATTATATAATATAATAATAAGACATTTTCTATACTTATAATCTGTATGAAAGGTTTATAAATGTTTATAATAAGTAGGAGTTCTTTTTGTAAGATTACAAGCTTAATAAATATCTTAATTATCATTATAATGATTATTTTTCATAAAGGAACTATCAGTAAATACGACTCAACTTATGTAATGCTCGAGTATCACATGAAATTTTGTACTTAAAACATTTATGACGCACGTCACATTTCACTCCTTGCCTCTGACCCCCATCTCCCGTATCTCTCTGCCCTGCCACTATGTCGTCGCTTTTGTTCTCTCCACTCTCTAGTTCAGTCGACTCACTCACAAGTGTCCTCCAGCACACTCTGGCTCTGTGCTTTCCTCTCCAATCTGTCGTTGCGATGCCTGTGCTGAGTCTCAGATCCTGTGTCGATGCCACCCAGCTGACTACTCCGTCCTTCAACGTAAAGCGTAAGCAGCCAGTCCACTTCCTTCATAATAACCTGCACAATAGTTGCTCTTCCCTCTCATCCCAACTTCTTGTCTCCCTATGCTGCCCTTGTATTCTTGCGCTGTCTCTCCTTCGTTGTCTGCCTTTTCTCCTTTGTCT